CATGAGGGAGGGCATTTTGCATGTTTGAGTGTCCAATTAAAAGATTCCAACAATAGAGGGGCAAGGTCTTCTTTATAAACTTTGTACCATTCGTTAGGATAGCCATCTGTACCTGGACTTTTTTTGCATTTCAATCTACAAATAGCATTATCAAGTTCTTTTTTAGTAATGGGTGAATTTAATGATCCATTTTGAGTAGTTCCTATGGAGGGGAGATCTAATACAGCTAAATAATCTTCAATTTCTTTTTTATCTACTTGTTCTGAATGATTATACTGAGATTTGTAATATTTATGAAAAATATTTTTGATTTCCTCAGGTTCATATGTTATGACATTACTTTCTGGATCTCTGATTTTGTTAATTGAGTTCCTTATTTGCTGTGATCTTAATCTTTTTGCTAATATTTTAGTTGCTTTGGGACCTGATTCATAAAAGATTTGTTTTGTGAATCTCAGTTTCTTTTCTGTCTCCTCGTTTGCCATGTCTGATAATTGTTTTCTAATTCCTTTTAACATACCAGCCAATTTATCACTCTTATCTGTATGCTGTTGTTTTTCTAGATTTCTCATATTTTGTTCTAATTCAGCTTGTAATAGCTTTTTCTTTTTTTTAATGTGAGCTAGCCTTGATATCAGGTTTCCTCTCATCACTGCTTTTATAGTGTCCCATAATATTGTTGGCTCTATTTGTTCATCCTTATTATTGGCTATACAGTCTTGAATCTCTTTTTTGATTTCTTGCACCGCAATTTCATTATTAAGAATATTAACATTCATTTTCCATAATGTTGTTTTGTTTGGACAATCAAGATGTATAGTTAAATATATAGCATTGTGATCTGACACATCTGCTATTCCGATTTTACAGTCTATAACCCGATGTCTATCTATTGTATTCATCAGAAAGTAGTCAATCCTAGAATGTACCTTATGAGCAGCAGAATAATGCGTATAGTCTCTCTCTAATGGGTGCAGAACTCTCCAAACATCACACAGACCTGCATCTTTCATTAGAATATTAAGAATCTTGGATTTGATGTTTTTATATCTTTTAGTACTTGTTGTGTCTTTAGTGTAATTCAAAATTGTGTTCCAATCGCCTCCACATATCAAAATCCCCTCACTCATTGTTATTTTGTCAAACAATAAATTAAAGAATGTTTTGTCTTCCTCAGGGGGAGCATACACATTGACTAGTGTGACTACAGTATTATCAATCCTCCCTTTAACAATCACATATCTGCCATGTTTATCGGAACATTCCTCAGTCAATTCAAAATTAACAGTGTTTGAAATTAGGGTAATAACTCCTCTCCTTCTGCTATTCTTGTACGAACTATAAAATGAATTTATGTAACCAAGCTTTTTAAATTTCTCATGTTCTTCATTTGACATATGAGTTTCTTGTATGAATATAACTTGCATATTATCCCTTTTCAATTTCGTTATCAACCTACTCCTCTTTATCGGATTACCCAGACCATTTACATTTATTGTCTCAATTTTCACTTTACATGACCCACTCATACCCTGAGTAAATTATTGCTGTAGACCCCACAAGTGAACAGGAACTATTACCGAGAACAAAAAAAATAAAAAAATAAAATAAATAGAAACAATGAAACCGGGGATACCTGTGACTCCTCCTCAAATGGAAGAATATCTCTCCCAACTGGGCCCCGTCGGTAGGCCTAGGGTAGTGTCTCCCGTAAGGGGAGGGCCCTATGTAAGGTTTGGAAGCTACTTCCATCCTTAGTGTCCAACGTCCTAACTCCTTCTCTGGTGCCTCTCCTTCAGTCCTGTGAATTACAAAGGCCTTCCTGTGTCAATAATGCAAACGCTCCTCATCCTTCATTTTTTCCCGCTTCTCTGAAACTCCATCAATTTCTCTTTTGCCCTCTGCGCCGTAGGGACTCTGTGCTCTCGCCGGGGACGCGCCTCCCGCTGCCATCCCAAGGACTTCAGTCGAGTCTCCATAGCGACTTCTTCCGTAACCGCTGTCGGCACCTCCACTTCCAAGCCCCGCTTCCTCAACTCCATCCCAGCTTCGTGTGCGCTGCTGTATGTTCCGACGCCACTCTCCCAATGGATTCGTATGCTCGTGTAGGGTGTTTGGAAACGAACACCTTTCTCCTTCAGCACTTTCTTAATCTCTTGATATGCCATGCGTTTTTGGACGATCTCAGTTGCATAGTCGTGGTCGAAATAAATGTTTCTCTCATTTGACTGAATGCGTCCTTTTTTCCACGCTTCCTTGAGGATTAGCTCTTTAGTAGTATATTCTTGAAAATTTACTATAATTTGTCTCGGGTTATTATTTGGTCGGGGCTTAGCTGCGAAGACTCTGTGGGCTCGCTGAATTTTAAGATCCAAGTCCGCTGGCAAAGGTAACTCACGCTTGAGGAAATCTGTCACGAATTGCGTCACCGACTTCCCTTCCTCTCCCTCTTCTACCCCGAAAAGGCGAATGTTGTTCCTTCGCGATCTAGATTCGAGATCGGTCAGTTTGTTTTGGATACTCCTCTGTCGCTTAATGCTTCCAGTCAGCGCTTCAGTCAAATCAAGTGTCATGTCCTCAACACGACCCACGCGATTCTCCGCTTCATCCATTCTTTCCGTCAGGCCTCTCACTTCCTCCGTCAGGTTGTCGAGTTTATTACCCATCTCCTGGCGCAGGGCATTGATGTCCTTCCTTAGTTTGTCATTGTCCTCCTTCAGTTCGGATTTAAGCGTTTCTATTGCTTCCAATATCGCGCTCGAGGTTTTGTTAGTTCCGCCCGGGCTCGTGCTTGCTTGCTCGGTTGCGTTGCTAGCTTTTGTCGCGGTTATTGATTTGTCTCCTTTAGGCATTTTGCGTCTTTTTGGCCTTTAATGTGTTGAACCCACTGATCTATATAATGACTGGATAGCTCATGACGTTCTAAACTGCCACCAGGCAGTGAAGCCACCGGAAGTGTTCGAGCGGCCATCTTACGATTCCCTACCAGCAGAGGGCTCCAACGGCCGTTATACAGAGATAGGTAGCTCCGACGGCACTTTTAAGATGACCCGCTGCGCATCAACAAGTGTAAAACGAAGATCACAAAAGGATCTTGAAAAACTGCTCACAGGTTGTACTTTAAGCTCATATATAGTAATTTATATGCACAATTGTCGCTATTTCCGTGTTGTTTAAAAAAAAATTATAGCCTACTATGCATTCTTTCACAGACGTATTCAAGTTTAAACCCAATAAACGTATTATTCAATGCATTACTTCTTATAAATTTAATTAAATGCATATATTTAATATTTTCATGTCAACCCGTGTTCAGTTTGACCACGAACCATGCGCTGTCACTTTAATTCAGCGCCTGCAGCAGAAACGATCTCTGCACGCACCGCACAGGACGGGCATCCGCGTGCAGTGAAAGCTCCAACCTGTTGACATGGGTATGGTAAAAATATGCACTGCAAACGGAGTAGGCCTATGTGTAAACCCCTTATTTACACTGCACACATCCGCGGCGCATTATGGCTCCGACAATGTTTTATTCCTACCTTCACGCGGTGTCAACTCGCACCGGGAGCATTTCCACGTGATTTGCCGATTTGTGGGCGCGATCAGCTCCGGTAGCCGTGTCGCAGCTGTAAACGCGCCGCAGACGTGTGCAGTGTAAATGGTGTAAATAAGAGGTGAAACAGGTGTACATTAACCCATACAATTTGTATTATGCATTTCCTGGACATGTTCTTGCTAACTAATCAAATACTTGAACAGACTACTGATCTATCTGTAAAACACAATCAGAAAGAGCTAAATTTTAAGTTCACAATTCACATATACTTAATTTTTAGTAAGCAGGAATAATTTCCGACTTTAAACAAATACCCATTTAAATGCTTAGGATGTTTGCGTTGTAAGACTGTTCAGGGAGACTTTAGATTTAAAGACGGTGTCTCGTTATGCAATGTTTTCTCAGTCAAATCATACAATTTCCTATTGATTCAATAGAACGCGTGAGCTCACTAGGGAATCACAATATGGCGGTGCGGTGGCTTCACTGTTTATGATGTCATGAGCTATCCAGTCATTCTATATAGATCAGTGGTTGAACCCCACTCAAATGCTTAACTTACTCTATTAATGGATAATATATCATCGAGTTTTGGTGGGTATTTTCCATCAATCTCGGAGAGCGATCACCAAACACGTCTGTCTCGTTACGCCATCACCGGAAGCCACCTATATTTAAGTTTTTAAGTTATATTTAGCCTAAACGTCAGACCACTCCGCTTTTGTGGCCTATGCATGTGTGCGTGCATATGGGGGAGGGGTGCGATTTTCGAATAATAGCCAGCTACAGTATCTTCGAATATTATTTTTGCTCGAAATGCCCATCCCTTCTAATGAGTAGCATCAAACTACTCCAATTTGTTCTTTTAGGAGTTTTAATTATTTATTTATTGAATTTTTGTCCTGCTCAGACTTGTATTGGACAAGGTTTAAGTTATGACTTTTCTATTTTAGGTGATTAAATGTTTATGTTGTCCTCCAAAGTTTACTATTGGACAATGTTTAATTTAAGCCTGTGGGCTGCATCAGACTGCTCCATTTTGTTTGTATTTATCATTGGTCTTATGTTAAGTATATTAAGCATCGGGATCGGTATCGGCCGATCACCATGACAAGAAATCGGCTATCGGTATCGGCTGCAAAAATCCTGATCGGAGCATCCCTATAGATTACTTTTACAATCTCTTTAAGAACTTTTTAAAGTGACAAGATTTTGGTGGAATTGGCTTTCAATAGAGAAAAAAAAATCTCAGGTTTCATTAAAAATATTGTCATTTGTTTTTCAAAGTCATAAGCGTTTCAAACGACAGGAGGGTGAGTACGTGATGACAGAATTTTCAGGTGAACCATCCCTTTAATGTTTAACATTTAGGCAAATCAGAGTTTACATCTGATGTCAGTGCATCTGATGCTTTTGTGAGCATTCTCTGTGTTTTTTGCAGGTTGGTGAGATTTGATCCATTGGGTCACTATCTTCTAACTGCCATTGTAAACCCTTCAAACCAGCAGGTGATGCTTTTTGCTGGAAATGTTGTTGTTTTGACACAAGACACTACGAATATTTCTATTCTTACATTTTTTTTTTACTGTAAATGTGCTTGTATTTGTGCATTGCAGAATGATGATGATCCTGAGATTCCAATGGACAGTGTGGAAATGCCTCATCTCCGTCAGCGCTCCTTCCTGCAGTCCCAGCCTGTAAGACGCACACCAATCTTGCACAATTTCTTGCACATCCTCACTTCCCGCAACTCAGTCCCTCAGGCTGGAGGCACTCCTGCTGCTTCCACTGACGAGGCCTCTGATTCGTCTGGGCATTACGCTGTTTTGAGGGATCGTTCCCGGCTGCCATACCATGGTTGCGTTCAGCCACTTGGAGTTGTGTGTTTCTGTAGCCGTTGCTCATCAACTAGGGTTCCATCTCCGCCTGACGAGGACTCTTCAGACTCCGCCTCCCTGGAGGGACAATCACACGCATCCACCTTTTCTTCTGCACGCACAGAGCCACGGATACCGCGGTTTTCTGTCGAATCTCGTGTTGTATATCGGCCCTCAGCATTTAGCTGTGTGTATGGTGGTGGGAGCAACGTACGGAACCTTTCTTCTAGCTCTGGGAGGAGGAGAGTGGCTGGAATGGCACCTATCCCACCTTTCCGGCAGCATCCACCAGGCAGGGAAGGTGGAGGCCGTTTCCCTGGGGCAGAATGGACAAGCAGTGTGCTTAATGGACGAGGTAGTAGTTTGACTCCACCCAGAACCAGTGCTTCCTCCGTCAGCCCACATCCCGTCCTGCGACAGCAAGGAACTTCCAGCCAATCACCTGTTTACACCTCTGCTAGTGATGGATGGGGCTTTCCTCATAGCAGTGGCAGCTCATCAGGGACTAGTTCTAGCAGGCATCGCCCACCACAGGAAGAGGGGCACAGCAGCCCTTCTTCCATCCGCAACGTTCTTCAGTGTAACCTTAACCGCTATTTCATGGACTATGAGCAAATGCAGGACCTAGTGCAGCCACTAGAGGGCAGCAGGCAGGACCAGCAGACTCAGGAAATGCTGAATAACAACATTGATCCAGAGCAACCGGGTCCATCTCATTACCAGCCACTTTACAGCAGCGAAAACCGTTCCCACAGTCACATGAATCGCTGTAGAGTCTGTCACAACCTCTTCACCTATAATCGGGGTACTCAGCGCTGGGAGAGAACCGGTCAGCCGACATCTGCTGAGAGAAACGCAGCTTGGCAACCTACTAGTCCTGCCTTTCAAAGCGTAGCCCCAGTCTCACATTCTGATCATCACCTACTTGAACGTGCACCAATAGAGCCCAGCCCAGACACCCCAGAGCCTCACGTACCCTTTTCCCGCAGCACAGCTACCAGTCAGCATGAGGATCAGGCCGTCGGGCTGGTCTTCAACCAGGAAACTGGCCAGCTAGAGCGTGTTTACCGGCCATCTGCCACCTCTCGTTCAGAAAACGTATCACAAGAAGCCTTAAACCAGGAAATGCCTGAAGACACACAAGATGATGATGATTACCTACGCAGGTGAGGCAGTAGACTTGTTTGAATGGGTCAAATCAAACTTTCCTTGATTCTTTGATATGGAAAGGTTTGAATGTACCATGAAATCATACTGTTTCTCATTTTCCATTGCCAGTTAAAGGGATACTCCACTTTTTTTGGAAATTGGCTTATTTTACAACTCCCCCAGAGTTAAACTGTTGAGTTTTACCGTTTTTGAAACCATTCAGCCGATCTCCGGTTCTGGCGGTACCACTTTTAGCATAGCTTAGCATACATCATTGAAGTGGACAAGACAATTAGCATTTCTCCAAAAAAAATGACCAAAGAGTTGCGATATTTTTCCTATTTAAAACTTGACTCTTCTGTAGTTACATTGTGCACTAAGACTGACAGACTCATGGTACGGCAGTAAAGTTTCTTGATTATTACGCAGGAATGAGAGTATAGTTCCTAGCCATATCAGCCTAGAAAATCGCAACTTTACATTTTCCGTCGGTCTTAGTGCACGATGTAACTACAGAAGAGTCAAGTTTTAAATAGGAAAAATATCGAAACTCTGGTCATTTTTTTTTTGAAAAATGCTAATGGTCTTGTCCACTTCAATGATGTATGCTAAAAGTGGTACCGCCAGAACCGGAGATCGGCTGAATGAATTCAAAAACGGTAAAACTCAACAGTTTAACTCTGGGGGAGTTATAAAATAAGCCTATTTCCAAAAAAGTGGAGTATCCCTTTAAAAACTGAAAAAATTACTGCAAAGATGTTTAGAAACTTTGTCCGACCAGTCACAGTATTTAGGATTTTCCTTTTCTGCTTTCCCATTTAGGTCAGTGGTTCAGACTTTTACTTGCCAGTGTTTTCACTGACCCCACTACAGTTTTTTTTTTATGTGGGATATATATATACATTAGTGTTCAAAAGTAACAGTAAAGAAATTTACAGTTTGGCAAAAGATTTCTATTTTAAATAAATGCTGTTCTTTTGAACTACTATTCATCAAAGAATAGTAAATAAATATTAATATCACAGAAATATGAAGCAGCATAACTTTTCAACATTGATAATAGTAAGAAATATTGTATGCATAAACAGCAAAAAAATTATAATGATTAAATATGTTCATCAAACTGCTCATTGCAGTGTGGATTATTTTGTTATCCTGTTATAGCAAAGAGGCTGTTGGCAGTGCAAACTGTATTGGACCTGACAGCAAACCCAAAGTCTGTGTGTGAGTGCAGCAAAGCACTGTTACTCATTTAACATGTGAAGGGACCGATACAGCAGTTGTAAATGGTTTGCATGTGAAATGAGCAACAGCTCTGTGTGAGGTGCTCTGGTGCTAACGAATGGCTGTGAGTTTTCTATCATGTCACATTTCATTTTTATCTCCCTTATTCTTCAATAATAGCCTCTGAGCAAAGACACTATTATATAGTGACAGGATCACAAAGCAGTCCGCACTGCGATGCGCCGCATACACTGTTATTAGAGTAAAATGATCAGGCACCTAGTTTGGGCTTCAAGGAAAAATGTCTAACATGTAAATCAGCTTGATCTGACCTTGTGCCCGTCTGTGTGCACTCTATTAGCCCTCACAGCGCTGGACACAATATTAATGAGGTGCTTTTCTGCAAATCAGCACACTCAGTTCCAGACAGCATAGATGAATAAACATTAAAGGGATAGTTCACCCACAAATTCTGTCATCATTTACTCACCCTCAAGTTGTTCCAAACCTGTCCGAGCTTCTTTCTTCTGTTTAATACAAAAGAAGATATTTTGAAGAATGTTGGTAACCAGACAGTTGACTGTAGCCATTGGAAGTCAATGAAAATAGTTCCGTCAACTGTCTGGTTACCAACATTTAAAAACTTGAGGGTGAGTAGATGATGACAACATTTTCCTTTTTGGGTGAACTATTCCTTTAAGAGTTCAGTGAGGTGAAAAAAATTATATTTGCATTTGCTACCTAAATTATAAATCTCACCAGAAAACAAGGACGGCTTTGCATAGAGACAGGCCAGTGCATTTGAATGTCATTGTTTTTCTATTTGACTGTATGTGAATTTCACAAGAGCATGTTGCGTTCACCAAGCGTGTCATAGGTGAAATGCATGGCAGACTTCTGAGATGGAGTTCATTTGGAGCCTTCACATGCCAGTCAGAATTTCACTCTGAACTGCTCTGAGACCCCTATAACAAATGAAAGTATCTGCAAGACACTGACAGTAACTATAAGTGAGAGAAACATGTTTGTTGTATTGACACTGTGTATATATCTACACAAGCTGCTTGAATCTGCCATTTGAGATTTGTGAACTTTCATTTTGCACAAGGCCCTTGAAGTGCTGAAAGTGCTTGAATTTAGTTTTAGAAATGTAAATACCGGAATATCTGAAATATCTTTTGTCGAAAAGTGCTTAAAAGTGCTTTCAATTAACTAAGGCTATGTGTGTACACAACCGTTCAAATGTTTAGGTATTGTTTAAAAGAAATATCTTAAATACAGTAAAAACAGCAAGGTTGTGAAATATTATGACAATCTCAAATGCTTTCTATTTGAACATATTTTAAAATACAATTTATTCCTGTGATTTCAGCAGTCATTCCCCAAGTCTTCTGTGTCACATGATCTTTCAGAAATCATCAAGAAACATTTCTTAGCACATTTATTCGGTTGTGCTGCATAATCACTTTTGATTCATTTAATGCATCATTGCCAAATAAAAGTATAATATTTTTTCATTTAGAAATTTAAAAAAAAAAAAAAAAAGTGTACTAACCCCAAACATTTTGAATGCTTGTGCAGACGCTTAGCATGCCCAACATGATCAAATTGTGTTCTTATATTCAGATTATTATATATATATTTTTTTTCAATTAACTGGTTTAACAAGTTCGAGTTTTGGGCTGTCAGTCTTTTCATCATGGCTTCTGTTGAAAGAGTTAGTTGCTACTCTTCAATAAGACTTAGCATACTTTTATTTCATAGTACAGTTGATGATGATATTTTGTGCTTTACCAGTTAAACATACGGTTTATTGTGTTAAGCCCTCTAAAACTGGTCCTGAATTTTTATTTGGTTATGATGTTTGTATGAACTATGGGTCAGACTGCTGATGCTGCATGGTGACTAGACACCGCCATTAAGGTAAACAATGACTCACAGACTAGTAGTCAACTCCTTTTCTGGACTGTCACATTCGACTATTTATAATGAGTAGTCATGCAAACCCTTGGTCACCGGCACACTTGGCTCACTAAGTGTATTTTAGAGAAGTGAGTTCTGAAGTTAAGTTAATAATCCACTTTTATAAGTTGAAATTTATCATATTGGCACTTTTGAAAGGAATCTGTCCTAAAATGTGGGACAATTTTTGCTGATTTTGCCCCTCAAGGGTTCCTGCAATGCCGGCTACAGTCCATTAGGGGGAAGTAGCTCATCACACTGTGCAAATGTGGTGGTAACTTTGCACATATAGCCTATCTTCAACACCGAGTGGCCAATGGGCCTTTATTCTGATTATGTACTTGCACTCTAACACACCGACCTCCTCTTCTCATGTTGCTGAACAGCCTGTCCCATGTGCATGGGAGTTTTATGATTCGGTTGTGTTTTAAGGCCAAAGCTGTGCAACGAAAAACAGTATCACACTTCACTTATGCAGGAGAGCAAAATAATAATAATAATACTGTAATAATAATACTGTCATTTGATGTCCTCCCATGAGTCCCACTCCAGTTCAGTGTTCTGACATGGCTTTGAGCATGGTGCAAAGTTTAAGAACGAATTCTCATCACTACCTGCTAGAGTGTCGTACCTTAAACAAGAGCAACTTGTTCACTGTAAAATAAATAAATTATTATCATTATAATTATCAAATTATTATTAATAAATTATATCATTATTGTATAATTAGTAACAGTTGCCTATTTGCAATAGCATAGACAGAGTAAAATGCTGATATTTAAACCGATACTGTAGAAACATAACTGTAGTACCAAATAATACACATTTTGTACTTGAGAGGGTTATTGTTGGCAAAACAATTAAAAAAATACCCTCAGCATTAAAAAAACAGCAAAATTTGGAAATATGTTGTGTGTTTTTAAAGAGGGTTTGCTTCATCTCTGTTAAAATGCAGATCTTGATCTTTAAGAGTCAAAGGGAGCAAACAAAGCAAACTGCGTGAAAAGGAGTCAGAATCGATCCGTTCTGTTTTTGCTGTGAGTCAAAGGGCAGAAGATGGCATTCTAATGAAGAGCCGAGCACACCCACACCAAAAACATTCACGTACACACATCACACTGACTCATGCTGAATAAAAATGCCCCGCTCGATACACAACTTTCCGTCCAGCTTTGTGCCCTGCCAGTCGGAGGCAGTATGTTTTCGTCTGCGGGACATGGTCTCCTCTCTTAATTCCCTTTAGCGAACCCTTAATTGTATGAGGAATAGTACAAACTCAAACTTAAAAAAATGCCCCAATTTAATGGGTTATTAACTGATTCCTAGCCTAGCCTGGCAGAGCGCACATCATTACTTACACATTATATTCATTTAGCCTTCGCATAACAGCTGGTAATGAGCTTACTAATGTCCTTGTGCAGTTTAATGAGATTTTTAATGATTGTGATGGAACTTGGTGGGGAGTGTTACTGTAGAAACCGAGTAGTGGAAATTGGACGAAAATGTGTCGTCTTTGTGTGATGTCCTGTCCCGAGATTCTTTATATGAACAGGAAGTGAAGGTCTTCACAATTCGCAAACATACAAAGATATATAATTCTGTTTTGTAGGAGGCTGCTGGAGTCGTCCATGATGTCTCTTTCCAGATATGACGTCTCTGGATCACGAGACCATCCCATCTACCCTGACCCGGCCAGGTGATTCACTGTGTGTGTGTGTGTGTGTGTGTGTGTTGTGTAAACTGCTTTTCGTGGTCATGCCGGTTGGCCGGTGAGATCTGGGTAATGAGCAATTGTGCCGGACAGTGTGACATTTCAGACCTGCCAGCACCCCAATGTCCCCCTAATTCAAACATGCACACACTGAGCCTGTCAGCATCCTCTGACTCTGTGAGCGAGGCTCATAATAAAGTGAATTCATGGCTAGTGAGTCATTGTTGAGCTCTGGGGAATCAGCTGTGGTCTGGGATCAAGACAGATTGTTAGCACGGACTCCCACTGGCAGGTTTGCACAAACACATGGGCTGAAGCACACCTCTAACCTGTGAATTACCACAACAGACTCATTTCCCCCAGAGCAGAATGTACCTGGTGTTAGAAGGATAGTCTGACTCCAAAACATTCAAAACCACAAGTAATTGGTGCTATATGACACTGTTGTTTCCCGGATCTCTCTCTGTCTCCCTGTATATTGGTCTAAAAGACATGCTGATAAACAGTGTGTGTGCGCGTTGGTGTGTTTAGGCTCTTTCAGACAGACTGCGACTGTTTTGGCTGATTCTCAGTTCTTTAGGATCTCTATAAAAATCTGCCATGTTTTTGTGATTGTGTGTGTGTGTTTGTTAGGGAGAATATTCAGTTTTGTTTGCTTCATAATTACAGTAGTCTTTGTGACTGGCGAAGATGTTAACATTTTCTGTTACCCTGGTGTTTATTGGGAGTTTAGCTCTGTTTGTCTTAGTACAGTTCATCTGTTCCAAGCTGGTGGCAGATTTCCTTGCTCAACTAGTCCAAGACAGAACGAAACTCCAGATGCTCTTCCTGCACAAAAGATTATGTTTTAAGGGCTTCATTTAGCAAGTCGTCCTGACAAAATGTTAACTAATGTCTCTACAGCTGAATTAAATGCAGAATAGATGCAGATTTCTTATCAGCAATTCAAAAGATGTTTAAAAACATTTGATTGGTTTGTCGCTACTGATGTCTTATGAAAGTAATTTAAATGCCTCTGATTGACCATTACATGATTGTATACAACAGACAGTCTGTGATTGGTTTTGAACCACTGCAGAAAACCCCATGTTGAAATTTGAAACCTTTGGCAAAATGTTCATTAAACGCATACACACACAAAAAAACAAAACAATATTAAGTTACAGATAAAGTTCATAAGTTTAAGATGCTGAAGTATCGGTATCTGTATTGGTAGATTATTCAAAATAATTAGATACTGATAACAAATATCTGTGCCAATATTGCTATCTCCTAATGCAAGTATTTATTTGATTAATATATATATCAGTATAAAAATGGGAGGATGACTTGTTTGATATGTTATCTATCTAGTGAATATCTAACATCATTGTGGTTTCTATCTGTGTTGTGTGTGTGTGTGTAGGTTGTCCCCTGCAGCGTATTATGCACAACGTATGATCCAGTATTTGTCTCGGCGTGACAGCATTCGACAGCGCTCTCTCCGTTCCCCCAGCAGACCCCGACCCCTGTCCTCTAATTCCAACAGCCTCTCGCCTGGCCCCGCCCCCAGTGTGGAGAACAATGAAGTTGATTTTGAGGAGTTTGAGTAAGTAAACAGTCACACAGACACACAAAGCCTGTGCCAAGTAATTGTTCCTCAGTTGTTACCTGCTCTCATCCGCTCATAAAAATCTCTAAGTATTTATTTTCCTGTATTGTTGCTAGGCAACACAAAAAATACACGGGGCAGGCTCTGAATGCCAGAATGTTAGCACTTGTGCTTTTCAACTGACTTATTAAGCTTGCCAACAATTTGTGAGTTAGGTTGCCTGTGGCGTCTCTTCTTATAGCGTTTGGCATTAGCATTGGCCTTGGCTTGAAATGCACTTTACTACATCCCATCGGAATCAGTCAATGTACTGCTGTGAGCTTACTGCTCTTTTCCTCAACTGCCGGACAACTGTGAAATTATATTTTTAGTTTAGAAGTCAGAAGAATTTTTCTTCTCACCCATTATGGTTTCAGTTCAAGTCAAATTATATGTATTGTGCTTTTCAAAATAGATATTGTTTCAAAGCAGATATACTAAGAATTGTGCCTTCCAAACCACCCAGTGATCAAGCCAAAGGTGACAATGACAAGGAACAATGTTTAAGTAGATGAGGATCAAACCTTGTGAGTCAAGCTGGGGAAGCCCCCCTCATCTGACTGCCATATATTTAAACATATGCACTACTGTCCAAATGTTTGGGGTCAGTAAGATTTTTATTTTTTTCATGTTTATGGAAGTATCTTTTTTCTCTTAAGAAGGCTGCATTTATTTGGTCAAAAGTATAGATAAAACAGCAATATTGTGAAAAATGATTGCAATTTCAGTTTGAATATAAAAAAACAACACCATTGTGTAATAATGCAATGCAATGATGGCAAACTATTTCTTTTGATCAATTTAATGCTTCCTTGCCGAGTAAAAGTATTGATTTCTTTCCCAAAAATAGTCTTACTGCCCCCAAATTTTCGAACTGTAATGTATACACAAAGCGTACATAAATTATAATTTTAACGTATGTTATCCAGTCACATAGTATTAATGATGACATTGATTAATTTGTTAAATATAATGAAGTTCTAATGAAATAGGAGTCCAAGGGATATGTAAGTAGGTGGGATCCAGGCTGTGCATGACAGACGCCCGTTATGGCTAACACTGGATACGACTCTGCAAAGGCAGATTGGGCACAAATATGGGGGTTGTTTTTGGATTGTTTTTTGGAATATTTTGTGAATAATCCATTGTTTTTTCCACAAGCAAATAATGAAATGACATGTCCCTTTCAATCTCATTACCAGCCATTTAAAAACCTGAGCATTACGCTTTTAATCAAGGGGCTCAGCTATGAAGTACAGACTTATATTTTTAATATGAAAATGCTCTTTTAATTTGTTTGCAAAATGCATTTTTGGTAGCAGCCAGCTAGTCTGTGCTCAGGGCTCTAGTCATCTGTCCTTTTATGGAACCATTAATGCTCCAAAAATGTCTCTCTTTCCCTCTTCCCAATCCACTAGTGGAATATCAGTGCTTCTCTCCAGTCCAAACCACGCAGCTTTTCTCTCCCTCTCTTTCTCTCTTTTTTCTACTTTTTTTGGCACGGATTAGATGCCCTCCTCTGAGCTGATGAATAATTCCACCCGCTGGCTGGAGAGTTCAGCGTTCAGCGCTGCAGTCTGGGACCACAGATCCATATTAATCAGAATATTTATGAAACCCATCAGTCTTTCAGTTAGCCTTCATATTAATATTTATTTTTGCCATATATACTTTCAGTTCTTTATCAATCATTCCCACTCTTACCTTTTAAACAAACTGATGTTCTCATTTAGCTAAAAAATTATTGCAAAGATGCTTAAAGGGTTAGTTAAATGGAATAGTTAAGAATGAAATTTCTGTCATTAATTACTCACCCTCATGCCGTTCCAAACCCGTAAGACCTTCATTCATTTTCGGAACATAAATTAAGATATTTTTGATGAAATCCGAGAGGTTTCTGACCCCACATAGGCAGCAACGTCATTGCAACTTTCAAGGCTCAGAAAGGTAGTAAAGACATCGTTAAAGACACAGTGGTTCAACCTTAATGTTATGAAGTGACATTAAGAATACTTTTTGTGCGCAAAACCCCCCTAAAATAACAATGTTATTTTATAAATACGCACAAAAAGTATTCTTGTCGCTTCATAACATTAAAGTAACACTATGTAGTTTTTCGTTCCGTCTCTTCCCATGGCAAAGGGATTTTTAATTAAATGCAATACATTTTATCTTATGTATTAACCCCCTGGGGTCGGCTATCGTGCCGGCGCGATTGTCTCGCTTTTTTTCTTATCAGTGCAAAAGAGACTCAAAATACTCGGTTGATTTTGATCTTACATATAAGTGTGATACATCATTAGATCCTGTTAAGTTTCTATTTTTTTTGTGGATACTCGCAATAAAAGTGTTGTGCTTTTCACCAAATAAAGAAAAACAAACATGATGCGAGTTCTGCGTTCTCTCTGTCAGTGAAGTCCATTCTGAAACGCGTCCTAAGATTAACTGTAACTCCGCGATTACTTGTCACACAGGCACGAGAGATTTTTCTTTATGAAGCTTGAATTCTCTTCTTTTAAATGAAGTAATTTATATAAAAAACAAATATTCTCAGTTTATGCAATCTGTATGAAAAGAGAGTGCTGTCAGTATTTTTTTCCCCAGCTCATTACACTTCATTACGCGTTAATGTGACACGCCCACGGAGGACGCGCGCTATTCAAACGCAAATGTCGAGGCAAGCCATGACAATGCCCACATCAGCCGTTCCACCGCGGCGGTAAAATGTGTGGTGTATTTGCTGCCTTTTACCGCTAAGAGGCGCTACAATCATAGACTCTGAAAAGTGTTCGTTTATTCCGGTTTATTCTCTCTAATGCGTAATCTGCGGCCGCACCGCGCCTGATTCAGAGCGATTGAAAGCTGGTAGCAGATGAATTCAACAAGTGAAACGTAGTTAAAATAATTCATAATCACACTACTGAAATTAGGCTACTGAAATGTAATTGAATAAATAATGAAAACATTTCAACATAAAACATTGCAATAAAAACATTTAGGCTACATCAATGAGGCTTTACAACTTTAACAGCGTACAGACGGTAGCTCAGAGATCAACGCAACAACACGAGCTTCGAGGAGCTTCAATCGACCCGAGATCGAATCTCAACGCAGCATACATGTTGTTAACTGATGTTGGCCTACAGCGTTTATATTTTACCACCTTGATGCTTAAATAGGTAACTGTTTATAACTGTTTACTTATTTAAAGTCAAGAGTTTTGTTTAATTATCATTACAACATAAATTTGCTACATTCCTGTAGAACCGCAGCCGCTGCACAAACGACAAAAACTGATGAAGGAAGATTGTCAGCGATTGCATCAGAAAATGAAAATGAAGAAGCTCGTCTTTAGTCTGCTAAATTATTGTGTAATGTAAAAGAACACTAAAATTACTTAAGTTTGAAACCAAGTTCGAACATTTCAAGGTTTAAATTTTTTAATTTAAAACAGGGTTGCATCGGGTTTAGAGTTTATTTCTTTTGCGATGCAAAATAAGAAACACTAGGCTAATCTTATCCTTGCGACATTTTAAATTTGTATTGCCAAAGAAATTACAGCTAAATTAAACAATTAAAACAGTACAAAACGAAAATTGTCCAAAGAAACATAATTAAATTAAAAACATGCGTTTCTCTTTGCCTCTCTCGCGCTGGATCTCTTTTTAACAAGTTTATTTAGTCTCCCTCGCTGCGCGCGCGGGTCTCTCTCTCGAAATTAAACATTTCATGGTAAAAACACATCATACAGCTGATAATACTGTATATGTCGCTGCGTGTCAGCCATACAAATCACGAAAAAATTATTTAACCTTTAATTGTTGCTTCAAAGACACAGCATGCCTTGTTGAATTCACCTTACAATAACTTCAATTGAAATTTTGTGTAAAAAAAACCTTTAAATAGGCTACAATAAATAAACTAGAATATTTATAATTTAATAAGATATGGGGTCTACATTTGGACACAGATTTATCCTTACAATAATTTTGCCTGCTCATCAGGCTGGCTATCCGACACTCTCCATATGAAAGAGGAACATTAACACCTTTGTCCAGCAACTGTCCCTCCAACCCCCCCACAGGCTATCGGAGTCTGAGGCTGACTGTAACACAAAGAGAAGTCGCAATTCACACTTAAATCGCTATTCTAGACAGTGTTGATAATGAAGGAATTAAATGATTTAAGTTACATGTAGCCTAGTGATATTTCTGTCATAAAAGTTTATTACTAAATATTTCATTATTTCAATAATTGATGAAATAAAACTGGTTTGGGCCAGCTTTTTCCAAGCAAAACTAAATATAATCTGAAAAAACGCTTGTTAATTTGTTGTCATGAACAAAATGTTCAATTCAATATTAAAGTCTACAGGGATCTTTGGATCCTTACAACCAGGCATGCAATTTGTGAATTAAGTTTTTATTTTATTTTGTATTATTCAAATAAATATCGAAACACGGTGCTTCGTGGTAATGCTGCTAAATTAAATAACATTTATAGAATAATTATGAACTTAAATGAAACAATATCGCAACATTTCGACAAATACATTATTTAATCTGTTTTTACATTTTAATTCAGGGCGATTTAGCCTACATTTAATTAGAGCGAGATTTTCACCCTTGTCTTGTCATTTTCTCATTGGGAAGCGCTTACATTACATGTTTGAGTAGATCCTCTGTACCTCTCGTTTGGATTAGCCTACATAATCAGATAACATTTATTAGCCTAAATATTTAGACATTTAAAGGCTTTAGACATAGCCGATTTCTTATCGTGACTGAGCTGAAGTGGCTTTCGGTTCATTTTTGTGACGCGCAGTTCCCGGAGACAGAGACGACAGATATACTGTTTTTGTCGTTAGCCTAATATGAATACAAGTTTACAGTTTTGAACGATGTAAGCTACTCTACTCTTATCTGTATGACCAAAAAATTACGGAGTCGCCTATTAAG